CTCACACGTCACACTCTCTCACACATCACACACACCGACACGTCACACACACCCACACGTCACTCTCTCACACGTCACACTCTCTCACACATCACACACACCAACACGTCACACACACACCCACACGTCACACACACCCACACGTCACACTCTCTCACACGTCACACACACCCACACGTCACACTCTCTCACACGTCACACTCTCTCACACGTCACACACACGACACGTCACACACACGGACACATCACACACACCCACACGTCACACTCTCACACGTCACACACTCTCACATGTCACACACACCGACACGTCACACACACCGACACATCACACACACCCACACGTCACACACACCGACATATCACACACACCGACACGTCACACACACCGACACATCACACACACCCACACGTCAAACTCTCTCACACGTCACACACTCTCACATGTCACACACACCCACACGTCACACACACCCACATGTCACACTCTCACGCGTCACACACTCACACGTCACACACTCTCACATGTCACACACACACACGTCACACCCACCCACACGTCACACACTCACACGTCACACACTCTCACATGTCACACACACCCACACATCACACACACCCAACGTCACACTCTCTCACACGTCACACACTCACACGTCACAGTCTCACACGTCACACACTCACATGTCACACACATCCACACGTCACACTCTCACACGTCACACTCACATGTCACACACACCCACACGTCACACACATCCACATGTCACACACATCCACACGTCACACTCTCTCACACGTCACACACTCACATGTCACACACTCTCACATGTCACACACACCCACACGTCACACACCCCCACACGTCACACTCTCTCACACATCACACATTCTCACGTCACACTCTCACACGCACTCTCACACGCACATACTCTCTCACACGTCACACACACACTCTCACATGTCACAGACTCTCACATGCACTCTTTCACATGTCACACACTCTCTCTCACACGCACACATACTCATCACACACACCCACACACCACACTTTCTCACATCACACACTCTCACACGTCACACTCTCATATGTCACACACGCTCACACACACACTCACACTCTCTCATATACTCTCACAAACACACGCACACTCTCTCACACACACACAACTCACTCTCTGACACGTCACTCTCTCTCACACACAGTACACACGAGCACATGAAATTGCTCTTCCAGTTTCCAACTTTTCCCCAAGGACAAATGACAAAGCTGTAATGGCTCTGATGTCACATGAAGCCCATTCCCGACAATCTGGACACGCTGTAACCAACTCCCGCTTGATGCAGACAGCAGGCCGGAGAACATTCTGAATGTGTCTCGGTGAACACATGCTAAACCAGCCTTTCTGTTCCATTTCCTTCAAATGACTTTGTGGGGCCTGGCAGAGTCACATCCAAGACCAGGCTGTGCCCAGTCACATAAGGCTGGCCCCCGACTCCCCACACCAGGTGTGTCCATTCTTCTTGGTCCCATCCTGCTGGCGATGACCCACTGCTGGCTCTTGGTGTCTCGCCGGTCCCTAGGGGCACAGCTCTCATCCTGATGGCCTGGCTCTCATCTCGCAGGGCTGTGAGCTCCTCCCTCTCCTTGAATATCACAGGTGTCTAAAGCTTGCCTCTCCCCTGCAATGCGCATCGGCTCCCACCTCCTCTGGACTCTGCAGTCCACATGCTGTCCTCTGCACAGAACGTGGCCCCAGACCTCCCTACCCTGCGGTCAGAGCTGCTGTCTTCTGCACAGAATGTGGCTCCAGGGTCCAGAGTAGTTCTCTCTGACCTGCTCACTGGTCAGAAAGAATATGGACAGGGTGATCTGAGCCTCTTCCTGGACCCCTGGGCTTCTCTTGAGAACAGACTTGGGGAGCAGAGGCAGCTGACACACAGGAGAAACCCCAAACTCCAGCCTTCAGAGTCAGACGGGTACCTGCCTGCCATCCTAGAGGCCACGACCTGCCTGTGCTGAAATTCCTGTTGAAAACGTTGGCCAGAGATATTGTAGCTCCTCACAGTTCTACGTGGTCTTTGCTTAGCATGTGCTCGGACCTGAGAGGTCAGCGTGAGGCAGGGGACTATATCCCGCACATCGGGTGACCCCCCTCCAGGCCCAGATGGGCGAGGCCGGAAGTGATAGAATGTCAATGTCCTGGACCAACCTACGCTGCCACGGAGGAATTACTGGACAAGCATTGAGCCTATGTCCTGAAAGGCACCTTGGGGCATGTTCTGCACATTTGAGGACCCCAGGAGGGCTGGACCACTGCCCTCGCAGTCACCACTTATCCACACTGCCTCATGGCCTCTCTGCCCTCCCCATCGGGCTGGCTCCCACCTTTACTCCCTGGGACCAAATTCTGCTTTCAGTGTCTGCTTCTGACCACAGTCCAGAGCTTTCTTGAACTGGCAAGCCACCAAGTGTGTCCTGAGCATTGCCAGAAAGTGCCACATCCCCTATGCTGAAATGGGACACTCCACATGAAGTCCAACCAAGGTCCTCAGCTTCCAAAGCTCACTGTCTAGCCAGACCCTGTCCACATGTCTTAAAGGTGCCTAGAGCCTAGAGTTCCCAGTCCTCCCCCATGTCATCCCCGGAGGACTGCCCATCAGGACTGGACAGTCCTCCCTGTAAACCTGAGATAAGGGGTGGGCAGTCCAGGTACTGCCCTGTCACCTGCGATGTGGCAGCCCTGCTGTTGGGGGACAGAAGCCCCAACACAACAGCACGGCTGAGTGTAGGCTGCCAGCCAGTGAGATCACCCGGATCGAGGCCAGAGTCTACACTCCCAGTGGTGAGGACCACCAGGAGCTGTTCTCTCTGCACAGACCCCCAGCACATGTCCACAGTGGGGGTGACTCTGCACCCCTGTACTCACTTGTGGTGCTCCCAGACATCTGGATGATGCACTTGGAGTCTCGGCTCATCTCTCGGGAGTTGAAAGGGCGGACACGCACCGCCACCTTCACCGAGGCCCCGGCCATCGCGGCAGCCTCTGTCGGTCAGTCCTGCAGCAGCGGGGCCTCACTGGGACAGATGCCTGAGGAGGGAAGAGGAGAGTCAGAGATGTCATGTGACCACGCGGGCTCTTCCTGGCTTCCAGCCTCCATTGTGAGGCTGCAAAGGATGGGGTGCAGGTGTGAAGATGGGGAGCACCACCAGAACAAGGGGCAAATGGGATGGAATTCAGAAAACCTGGGGCTGCAAGATCTCCACGCAGGAGACAGACTGGGTCAGGGGTGCGGGTAAAGCAGGTGTTTGGGTAAGTCTGCATAAGGGATGGGGGCCAGATTTCCACCTTGCTCCCCAGTATTAGAACCCGGCTCCCACTAGGCAGTGAGACTCCCCGTGTCAGCAGAAGGGTCAGGTGAGCACTCTCCATTGAGAAGGAGGGCTGAGCTGCACATCCAAACGGAACAGCTGCCTGTCTCTCCATCCAGCCAGGCACAGGGGCCACTGGGCAGGGCCACCCAGCTGCAGGGCCACCGGGCAGGGCCAGCCAGCACAGGGCCACCAGGCAGGGCTAGCCAGCTGCAGGGCTACCAGGCAGGGTCAGGCAGCCACAGGGGCAGCCAGCCGCAGGGGCCACTAGGCCAGCCAGCTGGAGGGCCACCGGGCAGGGCCAGCCAGCACAGAGGCCACTGGGCCACCAACACAGGACCACTGGGCAGGGCCAGTGAGCCGCAGGGGCCACCGGAAAGGGCCAGCCAGCTTCAGGGGCCACCGGGAAGGGTCAGCCAGCTTCAGGGGCCACCGGGAAGGGCCAGCCAGCTGCAGGGGCCACGGAGGAGGGTCACATCAGGACAGAACACCCAGCAGTAAGCATTGCCAGGCCAAAGGGTTTCTGGTCAAGTGTCTCTGGTCTCCCCTCTGATGTGAACAGGAGATTCTCTAGCAGGAAGTGCAGAGACTTAAGGGGCCACAAAGGAAATGGAGACAAGCACAGGGGCAGAGTGAACGTCCTCCCGAGCAAAGCAAGGCTTCTTCACCTGAGGACAAGCAGACACAAAGCAGAGAAGGAAAGGGGTCGCTAAGGGAATGTGAGAGATCAGAAAGGGCAGCCCGCGCAGGAATAACATTCAGAAGGCAGACGGGCTGGGGGAGCAGAGGCGAGGCGAAAAGCACATACAGGCAGGAGTGCAGCCAGCCACACAGGACGCGATGCGGGTGAATCGTTGGATCGAAAACCTGTCAGCTATGGGAACATTCACTCTAATACCAAAAGTTTTAAAAAAATAGTTTTCTAAAATTAAAAATACGAAAATAGAAAATTCAAAAGTTAATAAGATTTAAAAAGAAAGAAATCTTCTATGAAACTGGGAGTCAATGAAAAAAAGGTGTTATAAAAGAAATCATTCAAGATACTTCTCTGAACTAAAGGCCATGTGCTTTCAAAATAAGAATGAATATAAACAAGACCACACCAAAGAAAAGTGCTGTGAAATATCAGATACTGGGGCTAAAAAGAAAGTTCCAGAAGCTTCCAGGGGAAATCATGAAGAGTTGGTAATCAAGCTACATCAGAGTTCAGCCGGAGCCTCTGTGTGTGTAAGTCACAAAGCAACACCCTGCAAATCAGGAAAGGATTTCTTTTCACCCCGGAATCCTACGGTTCACTCAAGGGCAGGTCAAGCACGAGCGTGGCATGGCAGCCTTCAGGCCCAAGGGTTCCCTCCCCGGCACTTTCCAGAAGACACAGATGTTAAACGGGAGGAAGGGAGAGGTCTGGGGACACAGCTGTCCTGAGGTGGTATCACCTCTGCCTCTGTCCTCATCACAATCAGGACCTTTTGTGGGGAGAGGATGGGGCCGAGGTGGCTTTGCTGCCTGGAGAGGATTCGTTTGAGGGCTTGGTGAGGAATGAGCAGTAAGTGCACAGAAAATCCCAGGAAAACTCTCTATCAGCCATCATCTACCGCAGAGAAAACATTCCAAGACAGCAATGGGATCAGAACTGAGGCCCACAGGGAGAAGCACGTACCTAGCCTGGTCACATCACACAAAACATTACCTCCACCCCAGCCACGAGAGAACGGGGTGCGACGACAGGGCAGAGAGCTGGACTGGGGGAGGGGAGCACCCGGTGGGGTCTGGTGAGAACAGCTGACTCCTCACCTCTGGACATTAGATAAAACCCAAAAGGAGACAAAGGAGCAATGTGAGTGTGGGCAAGAGTCCCGCCTCGACCTCATTGGGAGGTGCAACCCCCACGCTGGACCATATTTTACCCTTCTGTGAAGTGGCAGGATCCCGGGGGCTCTGGGACAATGACCCTAGAGCAGTTGAGGGCATGGCTGCCGCTGGCAGGACTGACTGACACAGGGTTACACCAACCTTCTATTTGTAAAAAAGAAACCCAAAACCTCCAGTGTCTGCAAGGTGGACAAAATAAAATAATAAAAAGAAGGAGGCGGATAAGTTAGGCTTGTAACTATGTGCCAGGGAACGAGACCGGGAACCAGAGCCTGAAAGCCAGCAGGGTGATCCTTGAGAGCGGAGAGAGCAGGAGGCCCTCCCAGAGGGCAGGGTCCACTCCAGCCTCCGCCCGAGACAGTAAAGCGACTGTTTTAACCAACTTGTGGTATTTTGGCCCATTGCCTTGGGAGGCAGGGCAATCTCTGGGATGCTCCCACTCAGATTCCACAGAGTTCCTTCTTCCAGAAGGAATTCTGCATTCTGTTCCCATACTGCCTTCCCTCGGCTGGCCAAGGGGTCGTCCTGGGGTGTCCCAGCTGCTCTTCTGTGACACCGAGCAGAGCTATGCCCTTCACGTCCCTGGGATCAAAACAGGAGGGTTCACAGAGCCCCTAGGTACACCTACAAAGATGGAAAGGAACACAGTAAAGCCTGGCCTGAGGCGTATGGGGAGCTCTGAGCTCCTGGACCAACGCAGGACCGCCCCTTAGCTCCTCAGAATGGGCTGGACCAGAGAAGGATCAGAGCTCAGCTAAGCGCAGACCCTCCAGAGGTCCCAGAGAGAGAAGACATCACCAGATCACCTGATAACTGAGGATCAGCAAGGTGGGGAGGAAGGTGCAGGCAGAGCTCTGGATGTCTGGGATCACATTCAGCCACATGACAGTCCTCACAGCCACACCAGGCCCTCACGGCCACACCACAGCCCTCACACGGACCTCAAGACCATACCGCGGCCCTCACGACAAGATTTCTAGCATGCTTTTAGCAACATACTCTGTGTCTTTTTTAAAAAAAGAGGGGAAATCTATATCTTTTAAACAATTTTAAGTACAAATCAAAAGATGTATTGCATTGGGAAGCTCTGCTCTCAAAGACTTTGTCAAAGCAATGGGATAAATGTAAAGACTGAGGAGCCCCTGATCCAAGCCATGATCTTTCCAATTTCTTCCTTTGCAACTGAAAATTGGACAATGAATAAGGATGACAGAATAAGAATCGATGTCTTCCAGTTGTGGTGCTGGAGAAGAGCGCTGAGGACCCAGTGAATGGCCAAAAGATCAAATAGATCTGAGATGGTGCAGCCAGAGTGCCCGGAGGCAAGGATGGCGAAGCTTTGTCTCTGATGGATTATTATTAGGAAACGGATATCAAGCTGGGAAAAGTGGAGTGTCAGCAAAAGAGAAGTGAGTCTCAACAAGCTGGATTGACACAGTGACTGGAGCGACCAGCTGGAGCATATCCGAGATGTGAGGATGGTGCAGGGGAGGGCAAGATTTCTATCTGCTGTTCACAGGGTTGTTAGGTTGATTCAAAGGCACTTGACACAGGTACTAAGTTAGTGGAAGTGAAGAAAACACTAATGAAGACAGGTATACTACTAGACACTGCAGTTTTCTGTTATTCCCAACTGTTGTCACTGTACGCTGTCAAGTTGTAAACCATCTCACAGGTGACCCTCCAGGAGGTTTCCAGAGGCTGTAAGTCACACAGGAGGAGAATGCCCATCTACCTCTGACACAGAGGCTGTAATCACACAGGAGGAGAATGCCCATCTACCTCTGACACAGAGGCTGTAAATCACACAAGGTGGAGAACGCTCATCTACCTCTCATACAGAGGCTGTAATCACACAAAGTGGAGAATGCCCATCTACCTCTCACACAGAGGCTGTAAATCACACAGGAGGAGAATGCCCATCTACCTCTCA